AGTTTCTTTTCCTTTCTTTCTTTCTTTCCTTCTTTTTTTTTTTTTTGGTGGAACCAAGGATTGAACTCAGGCCTTTGCACTTGCCAGGCAAGTGCTTATTCTACTGAGCCATCTCCCCAGCTCCTTGAGTTTCCTTTGTTGACTTGACAGTAATTACTTTTAAAAATTGATTTATGAGATATTAAAATATGTGATTACTAAAAATGAATCTTGTATCTGGCACTGAAGAGAGGGCCTCCCCCCGTGTAGAATCATGTTGAAATCAGTGGAGTAATTTCAGGGCAGATACATGCTGCTGCTGGGCCCAGGCTCTCTCTGAGAATAATGGATTACCTTGCTTGGACATGTGTATACGGTTAGAGGGATTTTCAAAGTCTAATGTAATATTTTTATCTAAATTTAATTCATTTGAAGCTATTCATATATGTTTTAAGTCAGTTTTCATTTTGGGTTGTCCTGCTTCTTAGCAGTTTCCAGGTTTTTTAAATTTGAGCATCTCTATCAAGTACTTTGGTTTGTTTGTTTTTTTCTTTTTCTTCTCTCTTCCTCTCTCTTCCCCTCTCTGTCTCCCTCCCTTTCCATTTTCCTCCCTTCCCCCCTCCCCTCCCACTTTTCCTCTCCCTCTCTTCCCCTGTCTCTGTTATTTCTTGTCTCTCTACTTCCTTTCCATGCTCGGTTTTCTTGAGATGGGTTATTTGTTGCCTAGGATGGCCCTGAACTCCTAGGCTCCAGCAATCCTCCTGTCTCAGCCTCCCAAGCTTATAAGGCTACTGGAGAGCACCACAGTATCTGAATAATTGTTGAAGTCTCAAGGATAGTTCCCTGTTTCCACTGGTCCAAGATTTGGTGCACCAACATTCAGGTTGGCCCCATCATGGTGATAGCTGATAGTATGTGTTTTCCATGTACTCAGTATTCACTCACCAGATGGCTAGGAGTGCCATCGTGTGCCATCGTGTGCCAGGTGCAGCCATGAACCACCAGGAACCAGATAGGCACAAGCTCACCTTACAGAACAGAGCTGTGTGAGGCCAACCTGGCAGACCTACCCTTGTAAGATCGCCCTCACGTGGCCATGTCCTGACCCATTGTCCTGGTGGGTACCCTGCTCCATGTGTTGGCCACCTGTCTCAGGCCAATGTGAAGCTAGCAAATCGCTAGGTTTTATGTCACAGTGTGTCTAAAATCTTGGTGTTGAGTTTCGTTGGGAGTGACTGGTCTCTTGACGCAGCCTGGCAAAAAAGATGCTGTTATACCCACATTCACCTTGAAGAACTGGGCATGGTTTACCCCTTAATGACTTTATATGTATTTGTTACTAATTTTGAGAGAAAAAGCATTATTAGTTTTCTTTTGTTAATGTATTCTTTATAAGTCTAAATAAATACTTGCATTAAAATGGCTTTGGATGTGTTCTGAATATGCTTTCATTTATGTCCAACTTGTGATGAATATGCGTCACTTAGCTAAAGTATATACTTTGCCTTGAAAATACCATTTAAATCAAATCTTACTAATTTGATTTCAGTCAAATCCATGCCACATTAAATTGCCTTCATTTGGAGAAAGCAGAATTCGTGAAGGGGAAAACAACATGAGTTAAATCGTTCGCCCTTTTATCACTCCGCTTGGCTGCCTCTAAATTATCTTTAAAAATTAAGAAGTGTGACAATTTGAAGCTGGCTGCACACTGATAAACATTAGGGTGCTGAGGGGTGTTTGGATGTCAACTTGAGTGCTGGGAATAAAGATCCCTGGAACCTTTTGGCATCTTCCTCATGCATTTAGCTCCTCTTTTGGGTTCTTTCATGTTTCATAAACCTTTGTCAGAGCTTTAAGCTGCTGTGTTCTGGCTGCTCTGTGTCTCATTCCAGCTGGGCTTGGTAAGGAAACCGGGCCTGCAGCGTAGTGCTCTCTGCCCTCGGCTGAAACATCTAAGTCTCTGATGTCATGTATGCTAGAAGTTCCAATGTCTGGGCAGTTAATCTGCAATGTCTCTTTCTTGCTAGAGTTTCCAGAATGGCCTCTGCATCGACAAAGTACAATTCTCATTCGTTGGAGAATGAATCTATTCAGAGGGTAAGTTGAGTTCTCGTTTATATTGCTATCTCCCTGCATTTCTCTTTTCCTATTTGAACAGTGGGTTATTGAATTACACTTTCATTCTCTACTCACTCAGTGTAAGTACATTAATAAATGTGATTTTATTCATTATCCCACCTCGTTCCAGGAGAGGTTTTAGATGGATGCCTTACATGTGTGAAGTTTCACTCTTGTAATTGTGCATGTAACTTTAATTTTTGAGAGTCTGTTTCCTGACTCGCTGCCACACCTTGCATTTCAGGTCCTCAGCAGTCCTGTGTCCCAGGCCTGTTGGTGGGTAGGCCAAGGTCTGCTGCGCCTAGAGCATTTCTCAGTATTGGCGTTCTTTTCTAATTATCAGGATAAGAAAGTTGCATGACTAAGACAAATCTGACTGGAACAGAAAATGATTCAGAGAAGCCAGGGGAAATTGGGTCATTAGAAGGAGATTTCAGAACGTAGATTGACAGGAAGGGTAAATTTAAAGTAAGCTTTATTCCTGGCCCCTCATCCACCAGGAAGGTTAATTCGTGCTCCCCAGGCCGCGCACGTATAAGGATCTCAAGCCATCAGAAGAGAAAAAAGGCTGTCTTTTCACTTGTCTTCCTTGATTACCATAAGGTTGACTTTTAAAAAAGTGGGTTTATTTTTCATTTCTATTTCTTTTAAAAATTTATATGAATTAATTTTATTGGTACATTGTAAGTATACATATTTTCACTTTCAATTTGGCAACTTTGTACCTGCGCATGATTGATTTTGATTCTTTTTTCCATTGCGCTATGCTCCCTTCAATCCCTCTCCTCCTCATTTACAAAAGTTTTATATTTCTTTGGGGACCTGACTGTTCATGTCCTTTGCTGGTTAGCTTTGGGGATGTCTGGGGAGAATTCTCTTTTTTTGAATTATAAATATTCACATCATCACAGTTAACACTTATTATTTTTCTAGTTTATTGTCAATCTTTTCCATTTTAATTTTAATTTTTATTGGTACATATTTTCAGTACGTACTCGTTACACTCCTCATGGGGAGTTGGTGTGTCTGCAGAACATGTCTTAATTCAGCTTTCATCCCTTCCCCTCTCCTCCCTCCTCCTACCCCTCACCCTCCACCTCTTGGTCCTATAATTTATGGCATTTTGTTTTGATTTTGAAATTTGGAGTTTCAGTGTTTTATATAATCACATATGGCACTCTTTTTTTTTGATTTAACGAAAAAGATTTTTAAAATCTCAGAAAATTAAAAAGGGCAGGTAGCAATAACAAATGCTTAAGGCATTTAAATACATATTAAAGATAAATTGTTCTAATCACACATTTA